TTAATAAATTTATAAATTTTAACTATTTATCTTATATTATAACACTTTTAATTTTATACTTATACAAATTAAAAAAAATAATCCTTAGTTAAAATCAAGTTATAACATTTTATTAATTTTATTAACTGATTATTAATATTTCATTAATATTCTGTTAACAAAATTAATAAATTAAATTAAATTTAAATTTTATATTTTCTATAACAAAATGTTAATAGATAATAATAATTAGCTAACAAAATGAACAGTCAATTAATAAAGTGAACAGTCAATTAACAAAATTAAATAACATTGTAACTTGATATTAAATGAAAGTTATTTTTTTTAATTCATATATATGAAGGGTTAAAAATATTATATTATAAGGTAAGAAATTAAAACTTATAAATTTATTAAGGTAAAAGATTAAAGTAGATTTTTACCACAGTTGGCACTGAGATGATTATGACTATTAGTTTATTGATTAAAATTATTAAAATAATATTAAAGAATATTAAGTTATTTTAATTTAATTATTTTAAATAATTAATAATTAATAAAATAATCAATAATTATTATTTATTAACTAAAATTAATATATAAATTAATTTTTTAATTTTTTAATTATTTATTTTAGAAAACTACAAATATTACTTAAATTAAATATAATTTTAATAACCTTAATAAATATATTGAGAACTATAACTGCACACAGTAGATAGAGACAGCAGCATAAAGCATGGGCATAATCATAATCACCCAAAGTTGTTCATTGGATTCAGGGATTGGAAATTTGAATGTCGTTTGAAAAAATTGTAGTGGGTCTTAAATACGCAATGGTCACAAACTGAGATAAGGGCGAAGAATCGAAATGTTTTTCAAATGTCTTTTCAAATAGCCTTGTGAATTGTGATAATGTTTTCTTTTCATTTTTGGTTTTTCGGAGTTGATTTACTAGCGAAAGAGTATACCCATTTTGTCATAAAATATATTTTTTAATCTATATTTATTTTAAATTAATTACTCTGTAATACAGTAATACTTCATTTTTCATATCTTACATAAAAAATTTTTCTTACATTAATTGTATTGTTATCACTTTAATTATTTATTTTATTATAAAAAATCTCTATTTATTTTTTAAAGATAATGGCAAGGTTTTTAAAACCGGACCGGACCGGCCGGTTGAACCGGTCGGACCGGTATCCGGTGATAAAAACGGTTTGGTTCACATAAGAAAACCGTTTGAGGTCAAAACCGGTCAAAAACCGGTCAAAACAGGTCAAAACAGGTAAAAACCGGTAAAAACCGGTAAAAACCAGTAAAACCGGTAAAAACCGGTAGAACCGGTGGAACCAGAAAAACCACCGGTTCAATTTCTCATGCAATCTTCTTTCAATTTTTTCCAATTTCACCATTCTCATTCCTTTCTTATACCCATTTTAACCTTTAACTTTAACAAAATTACAAAATTATCAACACCAAATAAAAAAATCCATGCCTATAGCTTGCTCCTCTCATCAAACCTTCCTTATTGTTTGAACCGGCCGGTTCATCAGTCAAATCGGGAACCGAACCTGAAAACGGTTCAATGACCGGTCCGGTTTTGAAAACATTGGATAATGGTATAAACAAAGACATAAATTCTCTTTAAATTTTTAATTTTGAGAAAAAGTTGTGAGGAAGGGGGTGGTATATAATTTTTTTTTGGTGAATTTATATAATTAAATGATTTATATTGTTGGCTAAAAAATATTTTCTAGAAAACAATCTAATTTTTATTGTATTTTAAAAAATAATCAGGTAATAGTATATTTTCCCTTATATATATAACGCTAATTAATATTTCTTCTATTCATTTTTAATATATTTAGTTTAATTTTTAACTTTTTGAATATGAAATTTAAATAAAAATTTAATAATTAAAATGAACAATAATTGAAAAGTTTTTTTTTTACATACAAAATTTTTGTTGAGTACCATAATTTAATAAAAAAATTTCAATTATCGTTTTTATAATATATTAAATTTTTATTTAAAATTTATATTTAAAAAATTAAAAAAGTAAAACTAAATCTATGTACTAAATATAAAATAGAGAGAGTAATTGTCCAGTGAAACAAGTGCAGTAGCCAAACAGTATGATCATACGTGAATATGTTAAGTTTATGTGAATTGTCTTTAAAAAAATAGTATTTATTCGTTTTGCTTCCTAAAAATTAAAGGTAAAACCTTTAAATCCACCCTAAAAAAAATATCGGTAAGGACATATCTATCCTTAAAAAAAACCAGAGACAAATTGTCTCTCCAAATCATAAATCAATACAAATCACCAATTTTTCAACGTTTTTCGTTAAAAAATGCTGACATGATAAACAAAATTCTAACGTTTTTCGTTAAAAAAGAGGTGATTTATATTGATTTATGATTTAAAGGGACAATTTGTCCCTGCTTTTTTTTTAGAGGTGGATATGTCCTTACTGATATTTTTTGAGTGTGGATTTAAGGGTTTTGCCAAAATTAAAAGAAATATTATTTTAAAATTACGTTATTTTAATAAACATTCATGAAAAAAAATTAAAATATCCTATTTTTACAGTATGAATTAGAGTGTTTTTTTGTTTTTTTTCTTTTAATTTTTTAGAGATAAGGCAGATGAACATTAACTCATTATGTTTAATATTAATTGATATTTGATTAATTTAAGATTTTTCTAAGAACAATGATTATTATATATTTTAGTTCAATATATTACATAATATATTTATTAAGAGATTATTATTTTTTAATTTAAAAATAAAAATAAATAAATTTAAAAATATAATTATGTATATA